TTTGAAAATACTTTTCATATATGTCGTTCTTTATACATATAAACATTTTTTTTAAGTAAATATGAGACACGCGAAATTTAATAATATTATCATATAATAAATTTGCAACGAAATATGCGATGAAACTATATGTATACGTAACACGTATGATTTTTGTAATATTGTACAAATATTATATATTTTTGACAAGCACGCTGATATTTTTATATTAGATAATTCTATTATTATTTCGCATTACCAACATTCACTTTTCCTAACAATAACGTTCATATCTGTTTAAATAGGGAGTATCATTATCCTTGAAGATCCAATGTGTCTTTTTAGCGACCAGTGCATTATTAGAAGTATTTATGTATTCGTGGCCAGCAGAACATTTGATTCATATAGTGAGTTAATTATTCATGAGAAGTAACATTATCATATTTGTACATAATTTATACCTTATGGTTATATTTCTTAGAGTACCAATATAGCACAGGCAGTTTTTGAAACTAATTGGTATAAGGAATCGGAATATTTTCGGAAAAACTTACAGATGGTTATACTGAGGAGTCAGAAGCCAATACTTGTTGTATTGCCATGCGGCTTGCCGTCGTTGTCTTTACGTTATTACGCGTCGGTGAGATGTGATTTTTCACTATTAAAATTCCCAAATAATGCACATTAGTCATCCAGTTATCTGTAATCATTTTAAATTATAATTAAAAAAGATTTTTGTTTTCTTCTTGTCTTTTATTTCTCAAAAAAACTAAAAGAATAGGTTTGAAAAGATAACAATAAGATTACAATAAAATACAGATTACAATAAAAAATATAAGATAATTTATGATACGATCCTATTTCATGAAATGTATAATAGCAAAAATTGAATGTACTCAATATCTAATAATAAATATTATAATTATTACATGCTAAGAAAGTTAAAACTTTAAAAATTATGGTTGTTGATATATTTCTTCTTTCTACGTAAAAATGTTTTGTTACTTTAAAATATTCATTTTTTGCATCAGTCACACATTTAATAAGAAATAAATATTATTATATAAGTAGTACATATAATTATTTTTCTAAGAATACCTTGCAAATATATTCATTATAATTACGATATATTTACGCATATATAAATTGTTACAAAAAATATACATATCTATAATATAATAAATATTACAGTACCTCTCAACTATATTCTCATACTTCACTACAATGCGAATAATGTTTGAGGAGAAAGAATCTGGATACTAAGTAAACAGCGTATTTTTTAATGAAGTATTGGCGACAAGAAAAGTTCTCTGCACTACAAAATGCAAAATTAGATTATTCTTATTTGAGCAGATTTTATTTAAAAAATTATGTTTCCTGCACAATATGTTAAAATATTCAATGTACAGGATATAAAAACACTCGTATAAAAAATTCAAAAAATTATGTAATATAAACAGTAATTTTTCAAGTATAAAGGCAAATTATAGATTAAAATTCTAACAATAATATCAATTATTTAAATATAAATTCTTGATCAAATATATTATATTTTTGGCCATGAATATTTAATATAAAATATAAAATACGTATATAATTATTTTTTATTCTAATGTTGAATATTAAACTAAAGTACAAAGTGTCTAAAATATATCCAATGCCCCAACTATTTTCTTTTAGAAGGAGTATAAGTTTATATGGTTATAGCTACAGCACTGCACTTATTTGTATATTGTAGTACATTAAATCCTCTGTTTCTTAAAATTATGTATGAAATAAAAATTTTACCTGAGTAAACATTTATATTCTTAAATTTATTACATACAATTTCACATACATAACGCATTGTATTTCCTACGTTTTCTCTTTACATATGAGATATGCTTTAATTATCTCTTTCACAGGCTATTTCTACACAGCTCACAATGTCATCAAATAATAAATATTTAATAAATAATAAATTAAAGAACAATTTAGACAAAGATAACAATGAAGTCTCTATATGTATATATAACTTTAATTTTTTTTAATAAATATAAAACTCCTTTACTGGTAGGTGAAGATAATATTAAATTTCTCACTAGCACACACTCAATTGTAATACTCGCAATACAATAAAAGATCTTTATTTTCAAGGCAATTTTCATTGGAACTAAGGTTGCGTCAGGAAATTTATCGTGTTGAATAATCCATAAAGTAATTGCTGTAAAATGATTCCTCAATTACTCTGCATTCCGTAATATGCGTGTTTACCACATTCTACGCATATCATAGATAGAAAGTGTTCTTTTAAAAGCTTTGGCTTTAATGGTTTCAAGGAAAGCAGAAAGAGAGAATCTTTCCAGTTATGTAATAAATTAATAACACTCCCTATGCCACTTTCGCAATTTATGGTAAAAATAGATATTGGTTGAACATAAATTTACAAGCCTTACTTTTTACATTACACATATACACGCTCATTTTATGAGAATTTCATTGCGGAAGTATATTCGATGTAAAACAGAAGTGATGAGAACACGCATAACCATTCGTGCTAAAACATTCTTTAATATATCTCTCCTTTCTTCCCACGTTGTAACTTTTTAAGTCATCTTCAATTTGTACCGCAATACGTGCATATGTGCATTTATTATTTTAATAATGCGGTCAAAGTTGACATTTAAAAAAGTCATTGCCATTGTAAAATTAAGTTTGTTCATAACTTGGTGTTGGCCTCTCCCGAAAGGCACAGTTAAATTAAAAATCATCTGTGCGGGGATATATCAGTACTTTTGTTTATTTGTGACCTTTGGCGTAGCCGTAGGTTTGATGAATGCGGTGCGAAACCATTTTGATGATCCTGTCATTATGGCAAAATCGATAAGCGTACTGTGCCCTGCTCTACAAGTCGTTCACAATATTATGTGCTGTAAAATTAATTCTTACCGTTTACAAGTAATTAACATCAATACATTTATTTCATGTTTACACAAGAGTGAAAAAGCAAGCAAATTTTGCCATTCTATACGTTGCTTTCTTTGTGAATTTATTTAAGATTATACTTATAACCGATTCTAGTTGGTTACTTTTGAAATGGAAAATTTCTGTGAATTACTTAAGCCTCGTGAAGAAGCAATCGTTCAACGGTATATTGATAAATGCGTCTATTTCTATGGTGGATCTATGTTTTGGATTTATCTGAGCGCCGCTTTCATTATGTCTGGACCTATTACACTAAATCAACCGTTTCCGACGAACGCAGAGTATCCGTTCAATGTTTATCATCAACCTACCAAATCTATTATCTTTATACAACAGACTATAGCTTGTATGCAAGGTGCCGCTCAGCTATGTATGAATATCTTTATAGCGCTCTTAATATGGTTTACGTCGGCAAGACTTGAAATACTAGTCGAAAAGCTGCAAGGGATCACAAACATCTATGAATTGAAGAAATGCATTCACGAACATCAGACCCTATTAAAGTAAAACACCATTATTATTGAAGAAAAGAAAAATAGAATCGTTTCATTAATAAAATTTTTATTCTAATCTCACGTTGATATACTATGCATTTATGCTATGTGCATATAAATAGTTATTCATAATTACACACACAATTGTTATACAGTTTCTATGTTGCTGCAACTAGGAAACTTATTATTTTATCAACTTTTTTATAGATATGAAATTAACTTTAGTATTAATAAAACAATTAATTTCGTAAATGTTGAGATTATTTTGTTATTATTCATTGCATTATGATCGTAATTAAAGATCATAATAGTAAAACAATTGTTTAAAATTATATTGCGAAATCTTTTCTATAATATTATTATATTAGACGAGAAATTTTGGTTATGTATACTTACGTAAAGAAACAATATTAACGATTAATAACATTATCATATACATTTTTATATCAGGTATACGGAAGAAGTAATCATCTTAATTCGCCCCTTTGCATTATCAACTATATGCCTCAGTACTATTGCGTTAATAATAGTGGGCCTCATTTTGTTAACTGTGCGTATCGAGTTGCTGCTTTAGTCTAGTAATATATGTTTCTAAATTCGAATAAAAAATCTGAAATCCTGTAATACGGCAAATAACCCATGCCATGTCTTAAATAGGATCAGCCGTTGTCAATGATGATCCAATGCGTTGGTATAATTTTTAGTGGATTGTCAGTGGTGTTCATGTTCACTTGGCCAGCAGAACATTTGATTTATATGGTAAGTTATTGCGAAAAGAATTGTGAACAAATATTGTGATTGAACACTTACAATAAATTAACGTTATTATCCAGTATCTTTTCTAGAGTGAAGAGATCGGGCAGGCAGTTTTTAATGCGGAATGGTACCGACAACCGATCGCTCTACAGAAAGCTCTGCACATAGTTATGTTAAGAGCTCAAAAACCAATAACTATCACAGTACCGTGTCTTATGCCCGCATTATCTTTAAAATATTATGCATCGGTAAGAAACTACGTTTAATTACAACTATACGTTGTGATACTGAATATGCAATCGTAATAAGTACATACATAGAAATATATCATTATATACGATCAAATACAGAAAAGCATAATATTATTAATTTTTAATGATAAATTATCTAAATATACGTCATATCATACAATTAAAAATACAGCAAATATAGTTTTGCCAAAGTAAAATTTTTACATATAACATATAAGCAATTTGCATATAATTTGGTTAAAGATGATACTTCACTTCATGGTGGAAATACATAAGGTGTGCTCGTTACCGATACCAATTTTCGTCCGGTTCTGCGCAGCTCCCAAGCGTCTCCATTTTAAGTCGATATATCGATACCTGGGAATCTGCAACGGTGTCTATATTGTCTATATTTATGGGTTGCTATAGCAACCCATAGAATGGACACCAGACTCCTACATTTAAAAAATATACTTTGTCAATAAATATATATGGAAACTGAAATTAAAAAATAATCGTTGCACGAAAACGTATAAAATACATATTACTCTTTGCTCTTTATATTTCCACACAATAAATGCACTAGATATATGACTTTATAACTGCTTATAGAACGCTCGATTTGATTTAACCGCCACAATATGGACACCGTTGGGAGCAACTTCTCATTGGCTGTTCAAAACTATGCGCAAGAGCATACCTTATGTATTTCCACCATGCTTCACTTGATATATCTCAGTATATAAAGATATTACAAATGTTATAGTATTTGTCGACTATATTTTCCTACTTCACGGCTATACGAGTAGCCATGCAAAATGTCTGACAATGAGATGGGCGAAGACAGCAAAAACGTAAAATTGGAAAATATGCAAGCAATTATAATAAATAGTTAATAATCGATACTTTTTTTATTATCACGCTAATTATAATCAAATCACATGACATAGATGACACAATTAAAATAAATTTAAAGATCGCTACAATTTTTATATAATAATGTATAATTAGTTAAAAACTTTGTATATTAATTTTCTTATTTTTTAGGTTTTTTTATCCCTTTATTCCTGTTTATCCAAAGTAAATCTGGCAAAGAATACAAATCGACTTCTACTCCAAATTATGCGTGATATTCGTCGCGACAAATCACCGTAGAAATTAACGACATGATTACGGAACGCGACAATTACTTAAACGCGATTGATAAATGTTAATAACAGATTGTTTTCGATCAAGGTGTTCACGGCGCTACGTCGTTTCTTGGAATCCGTGCTCGGTTTTCGGCAGAGGTGTTTACGTCGCCGTACGCAGGGTCATTCGCGCGGCGACAGTCGAATTGATCGGTTATGCCCGCGCCGCTTCGATAATCTTATTATTCTTTCTTGATG